AAATCCTTTCATAATCGGCTCTCATCTGATTCTCAAACCTAAGCCTCTGCAGACTCACAACTTTAATCATGACCAAGAATATTATTACGGATGAGAAAAGTAAGACTTGGGAAATGACCACAGCAAATGAATAAAAGAAAGACCACATCTCTTAATTACTCAAAACTTGCATAAACTCAAATTTTATCTCAGTTACTCAAAACTTGCATTAACTCAAATTTATCTAGTTAACAGACACTGAGCAAATGAGGAGGAAAAAAATGACCAAATGGATCCATAAGAATTGATCAATATGTCTTGGAGAGTTCTTTACTGTAAAACAGAGAATTTCACTCATTCCCATTTGAAATTCAGCTTGTTGGAAAAATGAGACAGTGGCACAAGCACATCAAGGGAAATAAGATGGTGGATAAGAAAGAGAAATGATGTAATATGCATAGTAAATGACAGGAATTTGATGAAGATTTTATAGAGTGGAATAGTAGACATTAAACATACTAAAGAGGTAGAGCATTTTTAGCTATGGTTTTCATTTCGGAACATCAATAAATATAGATATATTTAATTTAAATCATGTGAAGAAGAGAAACATGTGCCAGTAGACAACACTGTCTAATTCAATTTCGTGGCTCATTAATGGTCTATTCAGGGTTTCAGTTTCTTCCTGTTCAATCTTGGGAGGCTGTATGCTTCCAGGAATTTATCCATTTTCTCTAGAATTTATAGCTTACAAGCACAGAGGTGTTCTTAGTAGTCTGTGAGAATGTTTTGCATTTCTATGGGATTGCTTTTCATGTTTTTGTCCTTTCTGACTGTGCTTATTTGGATCTTCTCCCTTTTTTATTAGTTAATCTGGACAGTGGTTTGACAATCTTGTACATCTTTTCAAAGAACCAACTGTTCATTTTGTTGATCATGTGTGTGTGTGTGTGTGTGTGTGTGTGTGTGGTGTGTGTGTGTGTGTGTCTCAATTTCATTTAATTCTGATCTGATTCTAGGTACTTTTTGGTTCTGCGAGTTCTGAGTTTAGTTTGTTGTTTTTCAGTTCTTTAGGTATGACATTAGGTTGTTTAAGATCTTTCTAATATCTTGATGCAGGCATTTAGCACCATAGACTTTCATTTTAACATTGTTTTTGAGGCAGTCCAGAAGTTTTGATATGTGTGTCCCTATTTTCATTTGCTTCAAATATTTTTTATTTGTCTTGATTTCATTGTTTACTCAAAAGTCATTTGAGAGCAAGTTGTTTAATTTCCATGTATTTGTGTGTTTTGGAGAGTACCTCCTGATATCAATTCTTATTTTGATTCTGTTGTAGTATGAGATGGTGCTTGGTATGATTTTGATTTTTTGGAATTTATTGAGACTTACTTTAGGACTATCCATGTAGTTGTTATTAGTAAATGTTCCATATGCTGATAAGAATATATATTATGTGACTGATGGAGGAAGTTTTCTACAGATGTCTATTAGATATAGTTGGTCAACTGGTTAATTTAAGTGCAGAATTACTTTGTTGGTCTTCTGCCTCAAGGATTTGTCTAATTCTGTCAGTGGTATATTGAAGACCGCCACTATAACTGTGTTGCTAAGTCTTTTATTGTCTAGTAGTAATTTCTTTATAAATCTGGTGCTCACAAGTATTGGTTGTACATATATTTAGGATAGTTAAGTCTTCTTGTTGACTTGATCTGTTTATCATTATATAATTTCCTGCATTGTAATATTTTGCTATTATTGGTTTAAACTTTGTTTTATCTGATTCTAGAATAGCAACCCCTTATCTTTTTTGTTTTCCATTTGCATGATAGATCTTTCTCCATCCCTTTACCTTGAGCTTATGGGTGTCTTTAAATGTGAAATGGGTCTCCTGAAGGCAGTAAAAGGATAGATCTCAGTGTGGTTTTTTGTTTGTTTGTTTGTTTGTTTGTTCAGTGCAACATGTTACTCTTTGTCCTTTAGGTGAGGCATTTAGGTCATTGACATTTAAGGTTAATACTGACAGTTGAGGTTTTCTTCCTCTTATAGTGTTGTTAGCTAGTTGTTTCATAGCCTTGGTTGTGTGGTTATAGAGTCTGTGAGCTATGTGGTTATGTATGCTTTTGTGGTAGGAAATATCATTCTTTGGTTCCATGTTTAGAACTACCTTAAGTATCTCTTGTAGGGCCAATATGATAGTGACAAAATCTCTTAGGGTTGCTTGTTTGAGAAATACTTTATGACATCTTCATTTATGAAGCTTAGTTTGGTGGGTAAGAAATTTTTGGCTGAGGTTTCTTCCCTGCAAAAATGCTAAAAATGGACTCCCACTCTCTTCTGGCTTGTAGAGTTTCTGCTGAAAAGTTTGCTGTTAGTCTGATGGGTCTCCCTTTATAGGTGATATGGTCCTTCTCTCTAGCTGCCTTTAGAATTTATTCTTTCACACTGATCTTGGATAGTCTGCTATAAGAATGCACTGTGGGGATGGTGGTCTCATTTAATATCCTGAAGGAGTTCTCTGAATGTCTTGTTTCTGCATGGTGATGTCTTTAGCAAGATTGAGGAAGTTTTCTTGAATTATGACCTCAAGTACATCTTTCAAGGTGCTTTTACCTTCTTCTTTACTTTTAGCAATGACAATAAATCATTGGTTTGATCTCTTTGCATAATTTCATTTCTTGAAGGCTTTGTTCATTTTTTAAAAAATCTTTGAGTTAATTAAAAGGAACAGTCTTTAAGCTGTTAAATTCTTTCTTCTGCCTGGGAATGTTAAGATTTGTGACTTTGTTTTCTAAATTGCTGAGGTGAATTTTCCAGAAGTTCAGTTTGATTCCTTTTTGAGAAGGGTCATGGCATCTTTTAATTCCTAGGTTGTTACTATGTCTTCCATGTTTAGGATTTTCACTTTCTCTTGGATCTCACTGAGTTTTTCTGCTATCCTTATTCTGAATTCTGTATCTGTCACTCCAGACAATTGATTTTGGTTAAAAGTCATTGCTAGGTTGCTGGTGCAATCATTTGGTTTTTGTAGTACCAGAGTTATTGTGCTAGTTACTTCACATCTGAGGGTGCTGCTTATTTTATTAATTTTTTTAAGCTTGCTATCATGAGATGGGTTTTTAGTTTAGCTTGGTTTTCTTTTTCTTTTTTCCCTTTTGAGTATAGCTGTGGCGTGTGTTGTGTGTAGTCAATTGACTTTGTTTTGGGTACATTCAGAGGGCCACTGCTCTGTACAGGTTCCTTGGTTGCAGATAAGATTGCACAGTGACTATCTCAGACAATATTTGTTGTAGCAGTATATTTTTGTTAGGTGGTATAGTTCAGGTTGCAGACCAATATATAGAGCTTAAGAACAAGAGCAGGCAATGGCAGTGGCGGCTGCAAAAGACTTGCGAGCAACTTTATGTATCTGCGCTCTCAGAGAGGGTGCCAGGTCTTGGCCTCAGTATACAGGCAGAGGTGAGGCCTCTGCACTGGGGGCCAGAAGTAGGTGAGCCCCATCTGGCAAAAAGCAGAGGAGGCAGGGGCGCTGAAGTATGTGCAGATCGCTCACTACTTCTCTATACTGTGGCCATGGAATCTGTGCTGTGGGCCCATGAAAGTGCACAGCTCACCTGCTCTCTCCCTGGAGCAGGAGCAGTAAGGATGGGCACAGCAGAGGCAGTGATGGCAGCAGACGTGTTTGCAAAAGGGCTTACTGATGACCTCTGACAATGAGCTCTAAGAAGGGGTACTGAGCCTTGGAGCAGTGTTCAGACATTTGTGGGGCTACCACACTGGGAGCCTGAAGCTGGAAAATCCTCTTAGTGAAAAGTGGAAGGGATGGAAGGGCGAGGGGAGCACAGAGTGCATGCTGCTCACCTGTATTGTGGTTGCAGAGCCCGTGACATGCATGTATTATTATCTCTGTTTTCTAAATGAGGAATGGATACAGAAAGAGGTCATGTGTCTTTGCCACTGTCCCCAAACTAGCAGCAGCTGAACTAAGACTTAAACTCAGGTCTGTCAAAATCTAAAGAAAAAGTAATTTACCATCATCACCGATCATCATTGCCCACAATTTTAAAATGCTGCATTAAATTAGCCCCATGCTGCTGGAAAAATCCTAATGACTCACAGTTAGAGGTAGATTCCACTTCTCATATGCATTTGCTTTAACATGAAACAGAATAAATTCTGCTATTGAAGATAAGAAGATAAGTGGGATAGACGAAACCCAAAGTTTACATTTAATATAGATAAGCTATTAATAAGTAGAGCCCATAAGTAGGTTCTAAAGGTATACGAGGCAACTGAGTACTAAAGATCATGATATCCTAAATATACAAGATCCACCAACTATCCCTAATACACAGGAAGTGCCAACTATTCTTGAGGTCTTAATTCAACTAATGATTAGCAAAACCTGTTCTTACATGTCCTTTATCCAAGACAAGAATCACACATAAAACCCAGAGTTACTCAGTAGGCTAATTAGAAAGCTATCGCTAAAAAAAAAAGAAAAGAAAAAAGAAAGAAAGCCAAGGTACTTGTTCCCGTGTCTCTCTAAGACAGAATGTGTGTGTCACGGGCCCTGTGCACCTTCTGCTTGTAGGTTCCCTTCCTGCCACCTCACCTCTGGTCCTCACAACATCATAACCAGCAAGGAAAGGTGATGTGGCAGAGAGTATGAGAGGAAGTATAAACACTGCCAATTCCAGAGATGAAGTGGTGTATCCACTTGCTTGTGCTCCATCCTCAGTGGATTGCCTTATCCATCTCTTTCCTTTTGCATTTCACACTATATTTTTAAGATTATTTCATAAACCAAGAAGTTTAAACATCTTAATCTGGCCATGAATCTTCCTTTCCATGATCTCTGGAATATCTTGCTGGTAGTGTAATGCATCAAGGTAATTTCCCACATGACATCCCTAAAGAGTAATGGCATCAAGAATAGCAGCAAATGTGAATTCTGAGCAGGAAGTCTGCGTCTTGAGAATGGCAAAGGCTGTCTCTCTTTTTTTCTTCTTTCCCCTTACCTTGCATCAGCCAGGGTTGCTCTTGCCACAGCCCATGCTGCAACAAACGCTGCTGGAAAACCTGCAATCAGAAAAGGATTCAGAGACTGTATTTTTTTTTTAAATTAACATTTTCCCCTCATACTCACCACGCCTAAGAACATACTATTAGCAGTTGAAAGAGAAAAACAGACCTGAACTCTATTGATATGTGAACAAGAAAAGTCTACTTAAATTTTCATCATGTCAACTTGAGAATTATGTGAGAACATGGATATTATTTGTTCCGGAAAGTCTGAAGATGACAATTGCCCAATTTTTATTTGAGAGAAGTAAGAAAAAGCCAGAAGAAAACTGAAGTTTCTAGGGTCAGAGGTAGGCAATGGTTGGTGCATTTACTTTGATTCCTGCCACATTAACAACCACATGCTTTCAAGGAGTGAAACAAAAAGGAGGGAGGGGAGTTCATCAGAAGTTGAGGGATGCAGTTGTTTTAAAACATTAGAACTCTCTCTCTCTAAAAGAGAGAGACTAAAGAGGCTATATAGCCAGTTATGAAATCGGTAAGTTTTGAGTAGTTAAGCCTCTTTCTTTTTTTTTTTTTTTTTCTTTTTCGGTTCATAGTAGCTCAAAATAGAAGTATTTGCATGCATCAGTAGCTTAACAAAGAGTGACTGCTGTGTTAGTTTAGTGATTTGAGCATAAGATATTTGTCCTTCATAAATGCTGAATACCTCCTGAGCTTGTGCTATCAAAGTCATTATACTGACTTTCCACAAGTCCTTTGTTCCCAGTAAAAGTTGACTGTTCAGTTCCTGTTACAGTTGACTAGACTCTGATATTGAACCAAAACCATAACTTTGGTGAAACAATGCAATAGAGGACTGAAACATTTAACAGATGACTTTTCATTATGTGGCATTTATGAAAGAAGTTTAAATGGATGCATAGAGACAATAATGGAAACAAGACATTTCAGAAGCAAGGAAGCACCTTAAAAAGGGAGAAATAAATATTTTTATCTAACCTATAGTACTTTTTTCCAAGCATAATATTACTTTTTCTCCTTTTTCATTTTAATTTCAGGGAGTACACGTGAGTGTTTGTTGTTACATCAGCACGTTGCATCATGGTGGGAACTGGGATTCGAGTGTACCATTATTGAACAATGTACACCACAGGTAATTTTTCAATCCTCACCCTCCTCCCACTCACCCTTACTTTGGAGTCTGCAGTGCCTATTATTTCCATCTTTATGTCCCACGTATACATAACAATGTGTGATATTTAATTTTCTGCTTCTGAGTTAGTTCACCTAGGATAATGGACTCCACCTCAATTTATTTTGCTGCAAAAGACAAGATTTCATCCTATTTTATGTCTGCATAGCAGTCTACGTTTTGAATATATCGTGTTTTCTTTATCCAGTCAACTTTTGATGCACATTTATTTTGGTTCCATGACTTTGTTATTGCAAATAGCACTGCAATAAACACACAAGTATAGATATCTTTTTGGTGGAGTGATTTGGGCTCTTTGGGGTATATACCCAGCAGTGAGAGTGCTAGGCCAAGTGGTAGATCTATTTTTATTTCCTTCAGAAATATCCAAACTGCTTTCCACAGGAGTTGAACTAGCTTACATTCCCACCTACAGTGTATGAGCATTCACTTTTCTCCACAACCTCACCAACATCTGTTGTTTTTTGACTTTTTAATAATAGTCATTCTGGCTAGGGGAATAAAGCATCTCATGGTGGTTTTGATTTGCATTTCTTTTATGATAGGGAATGTTGAGAACTTTTTTATTTGTTTATTGGCTGCTTGTATTTCTTCTTTTGCCAAATGTCTGTTCATTCTATTGCCCAGTTATTAATGTTTGTTTGTTTGTGGGTTGTTTTTTGTTTGAGTTGTTGGAGTTCTTTGCAGATTCTGGATATTAGTCTTTTATCACAGGCATAATTTGCAAATATTTTATCCAATTCTGCAGGTTGCCTATGGATTCTGTCGATTATTCCTTTTGCTGTGCAGACTTTTAAGCTTAATAATTCTAAATTTGTGTTTGTTACATTTGTTTTTAGAATCTTCAGTATAAGTTCTTTACTTGGGCCAACGTCCAAAAGAGGACTTCCTAAGTTTTCTTACAGGATTTCTACAGTCTCAGGTCTTAGGCCTAGGTATTTTATTCATCTTCAGTTAATTTTTGTATATGGTGAGAAATAGGGACCCAGTTTTATTCTTCTGCATATGGCTATCCAAGTTTCCCAGCACCATTTATTGAACAGGGTATCCTTTCCTTATTGTCTATTCTGACCAATGTTATTGAAGATCAATTGGTTACAGATATGTGCCTTTATTTCTGGGTTCACTATTCTGTTCCATTTATCTACATGTCAAATTCTGTACCAGTACCATCCTGTTTTCATTACCTTGTTATAATTTGAACTCAGGAAATGTGACACATCCATATTTGTTATTTTTGCTTAGGAATGCTTTGGCAATTTAGGCTTTTTTTTTTTTTTTACTTCTATACGCATTTTAGGATTGTTTTTCCTAATTCTGTGAAAAATTAAGTTGGTAATTTAATAGGAATTGTGTTAAATACGTAGATTGCTATGGGCATATGGTCATTTTAATGATGTTGATTCTTCTTTTATTCTTTTATTTTAAAGATGTAGGGTATAATTCAGGATTAGATATAAAAGTGGTCACCATATAGGTAAAGTTTGGGACTCCTTTTGGTCCCCACTTTGCCTGGTTTGAGGTCAGGTACCCTTGTTAATATTATGTGCTCTCCCCTCTCCCCTGGCAGTTTCTGGCTACTGCCAATCTCTTTCTTATAGAATTATGGAAAATGTTCAGGGTCCACGTATGAGTGAGAACATGTGGTACTCAGTTCTTTGTTTCTGAGATAAATCACTGAGTATTATAGACTCTAAATCCATTCAAATTACTGTTAAATTCATAATTTTGCTCTTCTTTATGACTGTGTAATATCCCATCATGTATTTGCACCACATTTTTTTTATCCAGTCCGGTTTCGATGCGCAGCATGGTTGGCTCACTATTGTGAATAATGCTGCAGTAAACATGTGTGTGCAGATGTCTTTTTTATAAAGTCATTTAAATATTTTTATAGAGTGATTTAGGGTATATTCCCCAAAAGGGGATTGCTGGGTCATATGAAAGGTCAGTTTCTAGTTCTTTTAGAGATCGCCACACTGTTTTCTGTAGAGGCTGAACTAGTTTGCAGGAGTTGTTTTTCCTTTTTTGTGTCATCTCTGATTTTTTTAATCAGACTTTTGCAGTTCTCCTTGTTAAATCTTTCACTTCCTTGGTTAAATGTATTCTTAGGTATTTTACTTATTTGCAGCTATTGTAAATGGGCAATCTCATTTGGTTCTCACCTTGAATGTTATTGGTGTATAGAAAAACTACAGATTTTAGTACATTGATCTTGTAATCTGAGACTACTGAAGTTGCTCAAAAAGTATAAGAGTCTTCTGAAAGAGTCTTTACTTTCTAGATATACTATCATGTCATCAGCAAACAGCAGTAATTTGACTTCTGCTTTTCCAGTCTGGATACCTTTAACTTATTTCTCTTGCCTGATTTCTATGGCTAGGGCTTCCATTACTGCATTGAATCAAAGTGGTGAGAGTTGTCACCCCTGTCTTGACCCAGTTCTTAGTAGAAATGCTTTTAACTTTTTCTCATTCAGTAGGATGTTGGCTATGGGTTAACAACAAATAGCTGGCTCTTATTATTGGAGGTATGCTCCTTTGCCATCCAGTTTACTGAGGGTTTCAATCTTGAAGGGATGTTGGATTTTTGCCAAATGCTGCTTCTGATTCTATTAAGATGATCATATGGTTTTTGTTCTTCGTTCTATTTATGTGGTGAATCACATTTATTGATTTGTGTAAGTTGAGTCATCCTTGTGTCTCTAGAAAAAACACACTTGATTGTGATAAATTCAATTTTGATGTGCTGTTGGATTCAGTTTGCTAGTATTTTTTGTGGATTTTTACATGTATGTTCATCAAGGATATTAGCCTATAGTTGTTTCTTTCCCTGATTTCAGTATTAGGGTGATACTGGATTTAGGGAATGACTAGGGAGAAATTCTTCCTTCTCTGTTTTTGGGAAGGGTTTCAGTGAGGTCAGTAGCAGTTCTTCTTTGTACCTCTAGCAAAATTGGGCTGTGAATCCTTCTCTTCTTGAAAATTTTTTTGCTGAAATATTTTTATTACTAATTTGATTTCATTAATGTTCTGCTTAGAATTTCTGTTTCTCCTTGGTTTCATTTTGGGAGTTTTTATAATTCCAGGCATTTATCTATTTCCTCTAGGTTTTCTACATTGTATGCATAGAGGTTTTCATAGCAGTCTGATGAGCTTTTGTATTTTCATGGAATCATTTGTAATGCCAACTTTACCATTTCTAATTAGGCTTTTTTGAATCTTCTCTCATTTCTTGTTAGCAGTCTGTCTAACTAACAGTCTGACAATTTGTGTATCCTTTCAAAGAACCAACTTTTCATTTCATTAATCCTTTGTTTTGAACATTATTCCTGGTATTGATTTCTAATTTTATTCCACTGTGGTCTGGGAAGATACGTGATATAGTTTTTAATTTTTTGAATTTGCTAGAACTTGCTTTATGGCCAAGCATATGGTCAATTTTGGAGAATGCTCATGCGCAGGTGAGAAGAATGTATATTCTGCAACTATGAGTAAAATATTCTGTAAATGTCCATTTGGTCTATAATCCAGTTTAAGTCAAGTATTTCCCTTTTAAATTTCCTGCATCAGTAATCTGTCAAGCAATATTTGTGGAGTATTGAAGTCCCTGCTATCACTGAATTACCATCAATTTGTTTTCATAGGGTCAAGTTGCATTTTATTTAAGATTCTGGTTTCTCTGGTGTTGGGTACATGATATATTTAGGATAGTGAAATTATTCTGGTTGAGTCATTATATAATGCCCTTCTTTGTCTTTTTTTTTTTTTTACTGTTATTGGCTTAAAGACTGTTTCACCTGCTATGAGAATAGCTACTTCTGCTCACTTTTGTTGTCCACTTTATAACACATCTTTTTCCACTTTTTACTCTAACTCTGAATGTGTGTTTAACTAGTACATGTGGCTTTTAAATCCAGTTTTCCATTCTGCATCTTTTAAGTGGTTCATTTAGGTCATTTACTTTCAAGATTAATATCAACATGTGACATTTCATTCCTGTCATAGTGTTGTTAGTTAGTAGTTTTGGGGTTTCAACTGGGTAACTGCTTTATAGGCTATGTGAGTTTTGCATTTATGTTTTTATCGCTAGTGGTGAGTATCATTCTTTACTTTTCATGTTTAAACCTCTTTTGAGCAACTCTTGTGGGGCTGGTCTAGTAGTGACATTCTCTTAGTGTCTGCTTGTCTGGGAAACACTTTATTTCTCCTTCATTTATTTCTGCTTAGTTTGGCAGAATATAAAATTCCTGGGTTGCCGGGCTTGGTGGCTCAGCCTGTAATCCCGCACCTTTGGGAGGCTGAGGTGAGTGGATTGCCTGAGCCCGCGGGTTCAAGACCTGCCTGGGCAGTGAGACCTCATCTCTACAATAAATAAAAAAAAAATCAGCCGGGCATGGTAGCGCATGCCTGTAATTCCGGCTACTCGGAAGGCTGAGGTGGAAGGATCACCAGAGCCCAGCAGGTAGAGGCTGCGGTGGCCAGGAGCGGCCACTGCACTCCAGTCTGGGCGACAGAGTGAGACTCCAACTCAAAAAAAAAAAAAAAAAAGATCCTGGGTTAACAGTTTCTTTTCTCTAAGGAGACTAAAAATATGTGTACAATCTAGTCTACCTCATAGGGTTTCTCCTGAGAAGACCTCTGTTTGCCTGATCAGCTTTCTTTTATACATGGTTTGACCCTTTTCACTATCTGCCTTTAAGATGTATTTATTTATTTACTTATTTATCTATTAGCATTGACCTTGGATATTCTGATGACTGTATGCCTTTTGATGTCTGCCTTATATAGTATCTCACTGGTGTTCTCTGAATTTCCTGTATTTGGATGTTAAATCTCTAGTAAGACTAGGAAAATTTTCCTGAATTATTCTCTCAAATATGTTTCTCGGATTGTTTTATTTCTTTCTTCTCTTCCAATAATGCCAATAAGTCATAGGTTTGGCCATTTTACATAATCCAATATTTATCAAAGACTTTGTTTGCTTTTTAAAATATTTTATTAATTTTTTTTTCTGATTCAGCTAGTTTGAAAGACAAGTCTTCAGATTCTGAAATTATTTCTTCTCCTTGGTCTAATGTATTAAAGCTTTCAGCTGTATTTTGAAATTCCATAAGTAAATATATATTATGTATATATATTATAAATATATACTATATATATTTATAGTATTCTCTGGAAGTTCTGTTTGATTTTTTTTCTTTATGGTATTTATCAGTTCCTTCATTCCCTGAATTGCTTTCATAATAAAATAACTGAGATCTGTGATTGTCAATCTCCAGCCTCTTCTAAATTTTAATCACATGAGTTTTAATTTCCCATAAGTTTTAGCAAGCAAACAAATTATTTTTCTCCAGGCATGTTGAGTTAGAATCTAATCCAATAATCCCTCCAATACAGATAAATCATTTTTAGAATGAGAGCTAAGTATTCTTTGTAAAATTACTCATATCAAAAGTAATTTGAATAATTTCCTTCTAAAAGTCAAGATGGTCCTATAAATTCTTTTCTGGTATTCCCATCATATGACCTCAAAATACAAATCAAAGATATGTCATTACAGCTTAGACATTTAGAAATCAAGAACAGTAAGATGAAGTTATTAATAAAACAGGACACTGGTGTAAGGCATGAGTACAGCAGTTTCAAATGTGTATGACTCACAATATGCTTTTTTATATTTCCTCCAAAGAATTGTCTCAAAAATCTGGCCCAAGAACACTAACCATAAATTAACTTGAAGAGTTTGCTATCACTAGGAGAATTTAATACTTGATTTTAATAATTTTCATCTAACGATACACAATGAAAGAGAAAAAGAAAAATAAAGGTAAGAAGGAAAGGGATTATTTTAGGAAAATTGCTGAAGGAATGCTGTTGATAAACAGAATAGAAAGTGCTCAAGGCTGGGTTCGGTGGCTCAGCCTGTAATCCCGCGCCTTTGGGAGGCTGAGATGAGTGGATTGCCTGAGCCCATGGGTTCAAGACCCACCTGGGCAGCAAGACCTCATCTCTACAATAAATCAAAAAATCAGCCGGGAGTGGTAGCGCATGCCTGCAATTCCAGCTCCTTGGAAGATTGAGGCGGAAGGATCGCCGGAGCCCAGCAGGTCAAGGCTGCGGTGGCCGGGAGCGGCCACAGCACTCCAGTCTGGGTGACAGAGACTCCAACTCAAAAAAAAAAAAAAAAGAAAGTGCTCAAGACTATAATCCAGTTTAAAAGGAAAAGAAATATAAATACCTTACCCCAGCCCATCAAGATGAAGCCCCACAGGTATTTGGTGTCTGAAAAGAAAGCCACGAAGATTAGACTATGCAGGTAGAGACCTTCCACAAGGATCCAATAGTAGTTTGTAGCCAAGAAGTAAATAAACATCACAACAGCAGTCTTGCACACGATCTATTACAAACAAATCAGAATTGCATCACATTAGAACTCTTCATTTTACTGGATGCCAACATCATAACAGAAAAAGTAAGTCTTCAGTTTCTTTATTATAGTCTAATAGGTCTACTGTACATAGGAAGATCAAGACTTAAGAAAACAAAACAAAGCTATTTTAATGGAATATTTTTTAAGACTGAATTTGATTCTCTTTTTGAAATGTTTTTTTTCTATTTGACGTCACAAAAATTCACTTTTTCTTATTTTTTTCTCTTTATTAAAACATCACATAGTCACTGGGAATGTTAAAAATAGTACAGAAAAGCATAAAGAAGAAAATACCCATATTTCTACTTTGAATTTATTTTATTTTGGTCCCAGCTGTCCCAAAAGTTAGTGACTCAAAACAAGAAGCATTTAACATGAATGTTATGGATTGGCTTATAAATCTGTGAAATGGCTGGGAGGTTCTGATCTGAGACTCATTTTGTCTGGTTGACTTATAGAAGTCTACTCTCAACTGGCTCACTAGCACTTCCACTTTCTTCTGTCGTTGGACACAGTGCGTCACAGAGCCAGTCCAGAATCAGAATCAGCAGGGACTACAGAGTTAACTGGGCAAAGGCACAGATACAGAGTATCGATCCACACCATCAAGACAATCAATCTACTATGCCTATTTTACTTAATTATTGGGTGGTTGTTTTACTAATACAGGGATATTTAAGGGCAGAATTAGTACCATACATTTTATTTTGGAAACAATCTTTGAGTCTTTAATAAAGAAACTAAATATCATGGGCTTTTAAATACTAAGCTCCTGGTTTTGCTGGTAAGTTTTCCATCTTTAAAAGTTGTAAGCCACAACAGTTGCTACAGTCCGAACATCCAGTGCCATCCAGTCATGTACTTTTTCAAGTCCCCATGCCAGAGCGTTCTTGAGGGGAGCATACAAGCACTTCTAAGGATCTAAAACGATGAGTTATAAGAAGGAAGAATCGAGGGAGAAAAACATCACTGTACAAGTCAGCAGTCTATCTTAGTGAGTTCAGAGACAAACAAACCAATTAACACATTTTAGTAGGCTGTAAAAGTGTCCTTATCTGTAGTGTATACAAATCGGTAATGGGAGAAAATGGTGGAAACACTTACATATTGTGATCTGTCCACAGTAGGCACGTCAACGGAATTTTGTAGGTCATCCTGCATTATTACCGACTGCAGTTCCTCCACCCCTGAGTGAGCATGAACCACTCTGTCTTTGACAAAGATGCTCACAGCTCTCAGCATAAAAGACACAAACAAGTGCATATGGGATATAGTTCCTAGTGCAATGCAATCGTCTATGGAGAAAAATAGTCAGTGTGTAGCTATGGATGACATTAGACACAGAGAAAGACACCCAGGGATACTGCTGCCATCGCCGGTCAGCCCACCTCCTCCAGTGAGCCCACCCCCTTCAGCAGTGACTCCCACACAGGACCCCACACAGATTCCAAAATCTGCAGAGGCTCAAGTCCCTTACATAAAATAATATAGTGTTTGTTTACAACCACATCTCTTGTGTACTTTAAATGATCTCTATAATATCTAATACAATGTGACTGCTACATAAATACTTGTTAGACTGTATTGTTTTGAGAATAATGACAAGAAAATTAAGTCTGTACATATTCAGTTCAGATGCAGCCTTTTTTTCCCCAAATATTTTCCATCTGCTGTTTGTTGAATCTGGGAATGCAGAACTCCCCAATAAGGAAAACTGACTGTATTGGTGGTCAAAATTGTGTGCTGACTTAGATCGAGTTGAATGGGATTGGACACTTGTTTAAGTGGATGAAAAATAAACCCCCCAAAAAGCAATAAATACTTTTTCTCTGTGTGCTGTCATCAGATAATTTTGAAGATTACTTAAGATTAATTTTGATCCAGTGGCACCAAAATCATTTGGGAGCTTATCCAACTCCATGCTGTATCACTTTTCAAACAAATATCCTTCAGTGCATACTTGTAGGCCTAAAGGTTTCACACTGCTTTGATGTTTTAAGCTTTTAAACAAACAAAACCTGAATTTGTCCTGAAAAATTATTAGTTAAATAATATAATGACAGTAGACTGAATTCAAAAACTTACATTTGGGGAAAATACCTTGAGGCACAGATTGTGAGACCTCTAGGTCTTCTATGAATAGAAAACAGAATATGTCCTTTCATAGAGAAAGTGGCTGGGCATCACTTACCTGAAGTAGCCAATGAAGAGGATGGCCACAGCCAGGGAACCAAAGGAGACAGAATAGCCAATGGTGTACATTACATAGAGGCGCTCAAAAAATTCTCGCTGGAGTGGAAGAGATAATCACTTATGTTAAAGGACTATTTTCCCAGGAAACTTTTTTTAAATGTCATTTTTGGAATATGAATTCTAGTTCTCTTGAACTTTTTTGAGCTATAATTTAAATGCAATAAAACTTATCTCTTAAGCAAGCATTTTGATGGGTTTTGACAAACCAAGTTCATTTTGGCCCCTTGTTAGTCAAAAAACCACCCACCACCCATCCACCCACAGATAACTACTCTTGCAATTTCTGTTACCATAAATTAGTTTTCTCCATTCACATACTTCATATACTTATTGACTGTTCTTAGGCTTCTTGAAAGCATAAAATGTAGTATATGCTTTTTTTTTGCCAACTGACTTTTAAAAGATATTCATTAACATTTTTACATGTATAAATGGTTCGTTCCTTTTTAATTTTTTATTTTAAAATAATTATAGATTTACTAGAAGTAGAAAATATAGTGAGAAAGGTCCCAGGTTCCCTTTACTCAGTATTCTCCAATGGTTACATCTTACATAATTAAACTAAAATATCAAAATTATAAATTTGACATTGGTACAATGTGCCTATTTATGTCTCCTGTCATTTTATCATATGTACATTCTGTACTCATTACCACAATCAAGATGCAGAATAATTTTAGAGTTCTCCCTTGTACTGTCCCTTTACAGTGACACCCGCCTCTCCCCACAATCCCAAACACCTGGCAACCATTAATCTGTTCTCCATCTCTATAATTTTGTCATTTCATAACGTTATATAAGTGAAATCCTGTAGTCTGGAACCTTTCAAGATTGGACAGCTATGTAGAAATGTGGTTGGGCAAAAAGGGTATCACCTCATACTAATCGACCGAGCAGGAAAACCCAGCAAGGATTGCCCATGCTTTAATCATGCCTATCCCATGAAGTCTTCCTTAAAAGCCCAGAAGACGTGGTATGAATGGCTGCTGGACGACTGAACTCATGGAGGCTAGCATGAAGGTGAACTCATCCAAGTGCCAGGAGGGTGGTGCAGCCCAACTCCATGGGAATGAAAGCGCCTGCTGGACCGTTGCAGACCTTCCCCTGTGCTTCACCTGGCTTTTATCTGTATCCCTTAAAATATCCTTTGAATATGAGGTACATGTAGGTAAGGGTTTCCCTGAGCTTTTTGAGTTGCTCTAGCAAATTAACCAAGCCTAAAGAGGAGGTTGATTCATCCGAATTTCTGAAGGTCTGGACTTGCTATCGGCATCTGAGGGGAAGGCAGTCTTGTAGAACTGAGTCCTCAACCTGTGCCGTCTGATGCTATCTCCAGGTAGACAGTGTTAGAAACGAATTGAATTGGGGGGTACCCAGAGGGTGTCTGCTGCAGATTGCTTGCTTTTTTATGGGGAAAATCTCCACATATGTGGTCACAGGAGCCTTCTGTGTTGATCGTTGCTATGTGAGAGCAGATTGTTTGTTTATTTGTTTAACTCAGCATCCTTAATTTATCAGAACCTACACTGAAATAAAATTCAAATATTTTACAAATACGATCATTTTACAACCATATACTTCTGTTTTGCACCCCAGTCTCAGTTTTCTTATTTACTTAAATATTTTCTTATATATGTGTTATAAAACTTGTAATAAGAGACCATTATGTCTTTCATTAACTATTTCATTTAAATTGACACATAAAATTTTAGATATTTATTATGTATTATGTGCCATTTTGAAATATGTATACACTGCAGAATGGTTAAATCGTGCTAATTAACATATTCACTGCTTCACGTGTCTATATTTTTGTGATGAGAACACAAAAACTATTAGCAATTTTCAAGAATACAACACGTTGTTATTAAATATAGCTGCCATGCTGTACAATACATCATGGAACTTATTTCACCTAACTAAACTTTTGTATCCTTTGGCCAACATCTCCCCAGTGACCCTTTTCCCTGGCCCCTGGTGACTATCGTTCTACTCTCTACTTGATTTCAACATTTTTTACACTCCACATGTAAGTGAGATTGTGTTTTGTTTTCCTGTGCCTGGATTATTTCACTTAATATCCTCCAGGTTGCTGGGCTCAGTGGCTCAGCCTGTAATCCCGCACTTTGGGAGGCTGAGGTGAGTGGATTGCCTGAGCCCGTGGGTTCGAGACCCGCCCGGGCATCTTGGTGAGACCTCAGCTCTACAATAAATCAAAAATTAGCCAGGCGTGGTAGTGCATGCCTGTAATTCTGACTTCTCGGAAGGTTGAGACGGAAGGATCGCCGGAGCCCAGCAGGTCGAGGCTGTGGTGGCCGGGAGCAGCCACTGCACTCCAGTCTGGGCGACAGAGTGAGACTCCAACTCAAAAAAATATATATATATCCTCCAGGTTTATCTATGTTGCCCCAAATGATAGGTGTCTCTTCTTTTGCAAGTCTGAATAGTAATTCTTTGTGTAATACACCACTTTTTATCTGTGCACCTATTACTGGACACTTAGGCTGATTCCATGTCTTGGATATTGTGAATAATGCTGCAGTGAACATGAGTGTGCTGATATCTCTTTGACATACTGATTTCATTTTCTTTTAAGCTATATCCAATGGAATTGCTGGAAGATGTGATCTGTTTTTAATTTTTTGAGCAACATTCATACTACTCTCTATAGTGGCTACGAACTTACATTCTCACCATTAGTATGCAAGGGTTCTCTTCTCTTCACATTCTTTCCAACACCTGTTATCTTTTGTCTTTTTGACAATAGTCATTCTAATGGTTATGAGGTGATAGCTCATTATGGTTAACATTTGCATTCTCTGATGGTTAGTGATGTTGAATATTTTGTCATACACCTGTTGGCTAGTTGTATGTCTTATTTTGAAAAATATCTGTTCAGATTCTTCACTCATTTATTTGTGTGTGTGTGTGTATGTGTTGACTATTAAGTTGCTTATGTATTTTAGATATCAGCTCTTTATTAGAGGATGGTTTGCAACTATTTTCTACCATACTTTTGTCTCTCACTCTTGTTGATTGTCTCCTTGGCTGTGCAGCTTTTAGTTGATGCAGTCCCGTTTGTCTATGTTTGCTTTTGTTGTCTGTGCTTTTGAAGTCATATCCAAAAAAATCATTGCCCAGATGAATCCCATGAAGCTTTTTCTCTGTTTTCTTCTATGAGTTTTAAAGTCTCAGAACCTACATTTAAGTCTTTAATCTATTTTGAGTTGATTTTTGTACATGGTGTGAGATAAAAGTATAATTTCATTCTTCTGAATGTGGGTATTCAGTTTTCCCACACCGTTTATTGATAAGACTGTCCGTCTTCTACTATGTGTTCTTGGCAGCTTTGTGAAAATCAGTTGACTGTAAATGTACTGATTTATTTCTAGGTTCTCTATCTTGTTCCATTGGTCTGTGTGTCTGTTTTTATGCTAGTACCATGCTGTTTTGATTACTATAGCTTTGCAGTATATTTTAAAGTCAGGTAGTGTGATACTTCTAACTTTGTTGTTTTTGCTCAGGATTGCTTTGGCTATTTAGGGTTCTTTGGTTCCTTATGAATTTTAGAATTGTTTTTCCTTCTAAATCTATAAAAAATGTCACTGGAATTTTTAAAGGGACTGCATTGAATTTGTAGATTTGGTGGGTAGCATAAACATTTTAACAATATTAATTCTTCCAATCTATAAACACGGATATTGTTCCATTTACTTGTATTTTATTTCTTCATTCATTATAGTCTCCAATACGCAGGTCTTTCACTTCCTGAATTAAATTACTCTTAATTTCTTTTTCATTTTTTAGTTTTGTAATGGGATTATCTTGATTTCTTTTTTGATAGTTTGTTGTTAGTGTGTAGAAACACTACTGATTTTTGTATGTAAATTTTGTATTCTGCAACTTTACTAAATGTATTAGTTTTAACAATTATCTGGTGAAGTCTTTGGGTTTGCTCACATAAATATAAGATTATGTCATCTGTAAGCAGAGACGATTTAACTTCTTCTTTTCCAACGCGTATGCCTGTTTATTTCTTTGTCTTGCCTTAATTGTTCTGACCAGGACTTCCAGTACTATGTTGGATAGACATGGCAAGGGTAGGCCTCCTTGTCCTGTTCCTGATCTTAGGGGAAAAGTTTTCAACCCTTCACCATTGACTACGATGTTCATTGTGGGTTTGTCATTTATGCCCTTTTTTGTGTAAAGGTACACACTTTTATATCTAACTTATTGAAAATTTTTATCATAAAAACATCGAATTTTGTCAAATTCTTTCTGTATTTATTGAGAGGATATATGATTTTTGTCTTTATGTTAACGTGGTGTGTCATATTTATAGATTTGCATATGTTGAACCATCTTTGCATCCCTGTGATAAATCCCACTTGATCAAGGTAAATTATCCTTTTAATGTACTGTTAAATTTGGTTTGTTAGTATTTTGTTGTAGATTTTTGTATGTATGCTTTCCAGGGACATTGAAGTCACTATATTTTCTGTAAACTGCCAATAGACTTTTACGTGTTACATATATAAATACAAATATGGCAATCGATATGTATATGCATATAGTTTTTTTGTTTTTAGTCTTTCATTTGTATCCATACATTTACCTATTCTATTACTCCTCAATCCTTCCTGTCAATTCTTGCTTCCATGCGGTATATTTTTTGTTCTGCCTAGAGAACATTTTTGAACATTTCTTATACTTCAGGTTTAGTGAAGATAAATTCGTTCATGTTTTTTTCTGCCTGACAAATATCACTATTTTGCCTTTATCTTAAAAGATATAATCACTTTAAATATGTCATTGTTTCTGATGAATGCCATCTTTCTTACTGTGCTTTGTCTGTACATAAAGAGCCCTTTTTATTTCGTGGCTTTTAAATTTTTTTCTTTTATTTCAGCAAGCTAACTATGATCTGTCTAAGTATAGTTTTTATTTTATTTATCCTACTTAGAGTTGGCCAAATTTCTTGGGCCTGTGGATTGATTTGCTTCATCTATTTTAAAAAATTCTTCGCCATTGCCTCT